GGAAGTTCCCTTTCAGGCATACTTTGCCTGAAAGGAGGCTTCCCATAGGCACTCTTCTGCAAGTAAGCTACCTACTCAAATTGAAAGGAGGAGGTGTGGCAAGTTAAGTTGACCAACTCTAATATCTGCATGAAAGTTGTCTTCATTGCCTATGTGATTGTGAAGAAAGTTACAAAGTGCACAGAAGCATGGTTCTATTTTGATTGACAGAAAGATCAATTCAGAATCACATGCTGTGATATATGTGTAGTCTCCAAACTTAAGGTTGCATAGATGATTCAAGAGTTGTGTAGAAATGTCCCAGTGATAGTCATGTAAATTATTTGTGATGTACTGATTTAAGGATTTTTTCTATTAGTATTGTTGGAGATGCTGACTTGTTCATGTCAGAACAGAGTTGGTATCCAGGCTTATGGACCTTGGTGAAAGCAAAAAATTCTAGGAATAAGGCACTGAGATAGAGGTATTGTTCATTTTTAAGGTGCATTCTAAAGGTATCCATGTGAAATGGACAACTGTTGTGTAGCCTCTGCAGGTAGTCAGAAGATGCAACAGTGCATTCTGTCCAGTGACGTAATCAAATATGATGACTGTTTATTATTTTGAAAGATGGAGGGCGCTTTTGACAGTGCTGGCTGTTATGATTTACAATTCAACTGTTTGCCATTAATTGATTTTATTGAGGATATCTTTTTCTGCCATAATAGTTTCTTTTTAAATTTTGTTCTTTTTACTTACTATTGGAGGAGTTGAACTTAATCCAGGTCCAATGTCTCATACACCACCTTTTCCCCATAATAAAGCTTAAATTTCGGCTGGTAAACATTGTCGATTTCCAAGTGAATGAACATTGAAATTATCTCGATTGGATGATTATTTTGCATTGCAGGATATTTCATCTCAAATACCTCAGAAGATTGTGTTTTTTTTGAGGAATGTTTTGATACTATTCTATTGAAACTGAAAGAATTGTCATCAAAATTTGACTGATTTTCTAATTTACGTAAGGTGTATGATGAATATCTAACTTGCATGGAAGAAGTTACAAACTTTTGACTTTTAGAACTGTATGTATGGATAATTTTTCTCTTCAGAAGTATTATATAGACTATGTATACAATGATTCGAGAAAAATAATCTTATCATTTTCAGTTTGAAGTAATAATGAAGAATTAGTTAATAATGCTAATAGCTTTATTGAGTTGTTTAAAACACAGAACTCTAGTCTATTCCTTTTACTAACAGTTATTGAATATTGGATATTGGGAACTTGGCTTGTATTGTTTGAACTATATTCTCAAGCTGACAAAAGATTTATTTTTAAAAATTTTAAGAAAATTCAGGTGTTGCCATCCTACTCAAGCATCAGAGTTTTTGATGATTTGTTGTATAGATCAAGACTTAGGTGTAGAAAATTGTTGCCTTTTTTTTGTGGAAGCTAAATCTGTGAATAAAAAAGCATTTCTGAAAGCTGATTGCTTGACGATCAACAATGAGAAATTCACTTTTAATTTAGAAACAAATGAACTACAGAAGATTAATACTTTTTTAGACAAATCTAGCCAAAAGGATTAATTGGAACAATTGCTAAAGAGAGGGATAAAACTTCAGTAATGAGAATATTGTCTTTGAACACTAAATTATTAGTAGATTTGTCAATATATCCAGAATATAGGGCAATATCATGTCCGAAGGATTGAAGAACCTGATTTTCCAGTTGTCAGATGTCTATTGGAAGTTCCCTTTCAGGCATACTTTGCCTGAAAGGAGGCTTCCCATAGGCACTCTTCTGCAAGTAAGCTACCTACTCAAATTGAAAGGAGGAGGTGTGGCAAGTTAAGTTGACCAACTCTAATATCTGCATGAAAGTTGTCTTCATTGCCTATGTGATTGTGAAGAAAGTTACAAAGTGCACAGAAGCATGGTTCTATTTTGATTGACAGAAAGATCAATTCAGAATCACATGCTGTGATATATGTGTAGTCTCCAAACTTAAGGTTGCATAGATGATTCAAGAGTTGTGTAGAAATGTCCCAGTGATAGTCATGTAAATTATTTGTGATGTACTGATTTAAGGATTTTTTCTATTAGTATTGTTGGAGATGCTGACTTGTTCATGTCAGAACAGAGTTGGTATCCAGGCTTATGGACCTTGGTGAAAGCAAAAAATTCTAGGAATAAGGCACTGAGATAGAGGTATTGTTCATTTTTAAGGTGCATTCTAAAGGTATCCATGTGAAATGGACAACTGTTGTGTAGCCTCTGCAGGTAGTCAGAAGATGCAACAGTGCATTCTGTCCAGTGACGTAATCAAATATGATGACTGTTTATTATTTTGAAAGATGGAGGGCGCTTTTGACAGTGCTGGCTGTTATGATTTACAATTCAACTGTTTGCCATTAATTGATTTTATTGAGGATATCTTTTTCTGCCATAATAGTTTCTTTTTAAATTTTGTTCTTTTTACTTACTATTGGAGGAGTTGAACTTAATCCAGGTCCAATGTCTCATACACCACCTTTTCCCCATAATAAAGCTTAAATTTCGGCTGGTAAACATTGTCGATTTCCAAGTGAATGAACATTGAAATTATCTCGATTGGATGATTATTTTGCATTGCAGGATATTTCATCTCAAATACCTCAGAAGATTGTGTTTTTTTTGAGGAATGTTTTGATACTATTCTATTGAAACTGAAAGAATTGTCATCAAAATTTGACTGATTTTCTAATTTACGTAAGGTGTATGATGAATATCTAACTTGCATGGAAGAAGTTACAAACTTTTGACTTTTAGAACTGTATGTATGGATAATTTTTCTCTTCAGAAGTATTATATAGACTATGTATACAATGATTCGAGAAAAATAATCTTATCATTTTCAGTTTGAAGTAATAATGAAGAATTAGTTAATAATGCTAATAGCTTTATTGAGTTGTTTAAAACACAGAACTCTAGTCTATTCCTTTTACTAACAGTTATTGAATATTGGATATTGGGAACTTGGCTTGTATTGTTTGAACTATATTCTCAAGCTGACAAAAGATTTATTTTTAAAAATTTTAAGAAAATTCAGGTGTTGCCATCCTACTCAAGCATCAGAGTTTTTGATGATTTGTTGTATAGATCAAGACTTAGGTGTAGAAAATTGTTGCCTTTTTTTTGTGGAAGCTAAATCTGTGAATAAAAAAGCATTTCTGAAAGCTGATTGCTTGACGATCAACAATGAGAAATTCACTTTTAATTTAGAAACAAATGAACTACAGAAGATTAATACTTTTTTAGATAAATCTAGCCAAAAGGATTAATTGAAACAATTGCTAAAGAGAGGGATAAAACTTCAGTAATGAGAATATTGTCTTTGAATTGTCAAGGAATGAAGTGAATGATTAAGAGTGTATATATTCTTTGCAAAATCGTGATTTAGCTGCTTTCATTGAGACTTGGTCAACTAACTCATAAACTGGTCCTTTCTTTGTTGAACCCCAGATTTATTTTTACACGAACAATTTGCTAAAAAACCGATTGGTCCTGGTCATCCATATGGCAGTCTCATTCTTGCAGTTTCCTACAAACTAAGTTTTTCGGAATCAATAACTGCAATGCTCATTCCAACCTTCCTAAGGAAGGTTGGAATGAGCATTGCAGTTATTGATGAAAAGAAAAAATTTTTTTTACACCCATAGATTTATCGATTCCTTTCAACCAATCACTGAGGATTTTACTTGCCATCAAAGCTTTCTGGTTTGCTTTGTGCATTATAGGAAGCAATTTTACTTTGATTAACTGCTAAGATTACAGTCACACATACTTTACTCTGTTTCCTACCTCTGCACTCTTGTTCCTTGACTATTGCTGTTCTGTTGGATAAATATTAGAAAAAAAGGTGTTTCATCTGCANCGGGCGTACTATCGGTGTAGGAGCAAAGCAAGGACCGTACTCCAAAGCATTCAACAAGCATTGAGGGGGAGAAATGTTGTCCCAAGCGGTTAAAAACATCGTTTTTCTTATTCTCGGTTTAATATTCTGGCGCTTGAATAGCCATTTTAGCTTCTTAATATACTTGCGTTTCAGCCTATTCTCTAAGGAGTAAGATAAAGCAATCACCCTGATATTAACCTCCTTCAAAAGATCTTCGAAAAAGTAATTTTCGAATTTCTTCGTTCGATTCACAAATGTTAACTAATGATGATCGCTTAAAGCGTTCGAAAGCGTTTTTAAATATTAAAAAACGATTTGCTGGATGTTTAAAGGTGTTGATTTTTATTCATTTAATTTTCTTTTCACACCAGCCATTTGCTTTTATTAATGTTGCAATCACAAACTTATGTAAAAAAAAAAACTGTTGGTCAAGGAAAGTTTGTTAAAATCCATTATAACATGTCACCTTGAATAATAACCAATAAGGCTCAAGTCAAACTCATAGCAATCAGAGAAAAGCAGTTTTAATTGCACCTATCTACTGTATTGTGAGAGATGTTTCTTAACTACAATTTTTGCTATCAAAATGTAGTCACCGAGCTTTGAATTTGTCATTGACACTTCAGTCCATAATTCAAGATAGAGAGGTTTTGGAAGAAAATTATTCAAAATAAACATTGAAAAATATATTGAATTTAGAATGAATTTACATTAAATTTTGAGATAAACAGGTTCAATTGTATTATATTTTATAGTTTTGAATTTATTGAATTGTTAATTATTTGTGATTTCTCTATAATTTACTACCTTAAATTTCACTTTATATTTATGATAAGCATGTAATGTATTAACATTTATTATTTATTGATAACATAATGTTAATAATATTTTGAATTATTGAAATGGAATGTTGTAGTTTTGGTTAAATTTTGAACTATTATATAAATATTGTAAACTACCGGTAATAAATTTCTTTAATTACCAAAATTAACTAAAATGAGAGAATTAATTGTAATAATTATCATTGTAAGATTTTTACTACTATTCAAAAATGATTGAATGATAAAAAATTTTTCAGCTCAACAGATACAGCCTGATCCTAATGATCTCACAAAATGGCAAGTGGTTGCTACAGCAGCAGCAGTCACTACTCCACAGCCAGTTACTTCCCAAAATCAGCCATCCACTTCTTCAACTGCCACCACTACAGATTCAGCTTCTTCTACTACAGAAGTAGGAAGCAGTGGTCGAAGGTTGAGAAGGGTTGCTTGTACTTGTCCTAACTGTAGAGATGGGGAAAGCAGGTAAATGAAAAGCAACATCTTTTATCACATTTTAATTATTCAAAATGATATATTTATGTAGAATTATTATAATCAATGTATTTTTGAAACAGAAAATTTATCTTCTATGCATTTGAAGTATGGAAATTTTTACCAAATGCTAAAGTTGGAAATTTAATGTAATACAGTGGTACCTCAGGATATGAATGCCCCAGCATACGAAATTTTCAGGATATGACATGAAATTCGAACATATTTTTGCTCCATGATACTAACAAAACTCACCATATGAGGTTACATTAGTTCACAGTGCCATTTTTTATTCACTTCTGTTCATTGGTCTCAGTCCGCGTGTTTGCTTTGTTGTGGAAAGATCTCACTTGATAAAGGAAATCTTGAGTATTATCAGAAAGTGACTGATTTTATTGAAAAGAAACATCCTGAAAAGGTTCACACTGGCCGTATTGCTGCTCAAAGTAATGACATTTGCCTAAGTCATTTTAGAAACATTTTAAAAAGTAGGCAAAGCCAAACCTCTTCGGAGAGATATTTTACCTAGCAACCTCTATCCAGTGAAAGTACTGGTGGAAGTGAAAGAAAGAAAGCAAAAAGCAGTGAATAAAAATTAAAAAAAAAACAAAAAAACACTAATTTTTTTATCGTTTCTAAGTTATTTTTAAGTTATTGTTACATTATCTTATGTAAGTTAAGTTTTAGTATCATTTCCATTCTCCCTCTCCTCCGCCACCAATTTACACCTCCACTGTCGTCTATCCTCAAAGGTAAAGTGCAAATAAAACTACATTTTTTTAGTCAGTTATTATTCTGTTATGGTTATTTATACATTTACAACTACAAAATGCATTTTTTACTGTTTTCCTTAGTATAGTTATTTTTTTTTTAATGTACTACTTAGCCTTAATTTGAGAGTGTTTTTCGTGTTGGAACGAATTATTTGGTTTTACATGTAATCATATGAGGAAAAATGATTCACCTTACGACATTTTCATGATACGATCTCAGTTTCAGAACGGATTAATTTCGTATCCTGATGTACCACTGTACACTGTTTGCAAAAATTAGCTCTAGTGACAAATTACTTTATATTAATGATTTAATTAGCCAAATTCTAGCCTGATCTTTCAGGTGATCATTGGTTATTTCATTATACAGTAGAGCGTCGTTTATCCGAAAGCTGGTTATCCGAAACGTCCGTTATCCGAAAGTATTCCAGTCAGCAAATTTAAATTTTCGCTAGTGCTGTGGCGCTGCAATCTTCGGCTATTTCTCGGGCTACTCAAATATTTTACGTTTTTGATACTAAATTAACATCTGAAGTATAATTTTTTATTGTTTTTATATTTTTCAATATATTTATTTTGTTTGTACAAAATAAAAAAATAATTTTTAACGATACAATAGTCTTTGTTAGGCTTAACATCGACGAAAATTCAACGCAAAGCGACATGCAACGGAGAGAAATTTCAACATGGGATAAATTAATATATTTTTTCATACATGATTCGTTATCCGAAAAATAAGTTATCCGAACCACCCCAGTCCCCAATTGATTCGGATAAACGACGCTCTACTGTATATTCATCGGACTTTAAGATGTTTATTATTTGTAAAAATTAATTTCAGAATTAGTTATAACAAATTTATTTTTAAATTTATGGAATTAAGATTACTTATATATAATATATGTACTGGATAACTAAACTTGAATAAAACACACTTTTAATTAATAATCCAGCAAATAAATATTAGTCCTTTTAGGAAAATTAATGTTATTAAGAGACATTTTATTTTAGTTTTATTTTATTAAGTTGCATTTTCAGCTTAATTTATATTATTTATGTTTATTTTATTGACCACAACTGTTTTCTGTTGTTTATATTTTCATATTTACATTCTATTTTGGTGTTCTTTTTTATGTTAACTGAGGAAGAATGTTAAAACACAGTCAAATGTTTTTATTTTACTAATATTTATTTGCTGGTTTATTAATGGTGTGTTTTATTCGTATTAAGATTACTATTAGCAATGTAAACTTCTATATATATTATTACATTATTAATTTAAATTTCTCTTGTCTTCCTGTTTTTTTCTTAACCATTATTCGCACTGAATGTAAATCTCCTTAAAATGGAAAAACCACTATAGTGACAAATTGTTTATTTCTTTTCAAAAAATGCTGGAAATGTTTGATCCCACAGCTTAGCCATCCTCTGTGTCATGTCTGTATATGACAAACTTTAAAGTTCAAGAATTTAAGCATCAAGCCGCTGTTTTATATATTCAACACAAATATTGGTCTTCATAAGTTTGTCTTGATGTGGAGATCACTTGTTTTGTGTTGTTTGGCTTTACTTTGGTCATTCATTAGTCCTAAAAGTTTAGGTTTCAGTTTAAATACTGGTCCAAGCTGGGTTCTTAGATCTTGGATTTCTTGTTCCAGGAGTTCCTTTTGTCTTGTCAGAACTCTGAGCATTTTTAGTTAAGAACAGAAGTTTGAAGAGTTTGATACCAATACTCTTGGAAAGTTGAAATGATCATTTTTTGCTTGATACTGACATATTTGAACCATTTGGACAGCTCCTTTAATGACATCTTTGTCAGAAGAGAAATTTTGATATCATTGAGATGTTTGATTGACCATTGGGTCAGGGTAATCCAGTGGTAATTGTATAGCGTATTGGTAATTGAATATTTTCTGAAATACAATACAGTGGAAACTGCTTAATTTGAATTCACTTTTACTCAAATGCATATTTTTTTCATTACTGTAATACAGGGATTTACATGTTAATTTGACTCTGTTAATATGAAATTTTGCCAATTCAAACTTTAACTTGAACTGAAAATTTCGTCTATAATTTATTTATGTATTTATTAGTATGTGCACATGTATAATACACACTGAGAGATGAAATGACATTTCAAGTGTAATTTTATCTCAACTGACCAATGACGGATGCATCAGTTGACTTGGGGAGGTGCCCAGCACAGAAGTAGCAGATATGTTATGTGAGGACAAATGTTTGCCAACCAAAGCTGGTTAATTGGCTGTTTTAAACAAAACTGAAACAATTTGGGAAATAGAGAAGAGATTATAAAATCAGAGGAGAGATAGCCACTTTGGAATGTCTTTCTTGACACTATGAACATAGCTAAAAAAACAATGATAAAATCAAAAGTGCTGAAGAATCTGAGGCACTTTTGATACAAGGTATACAAAAAGAAACATGCTCACCTAACTATTAACTGTATTTACACACTGAACACTGAATTCTGCTGAATGATGATGACAGCAGGAGTTCACAACCTCTTTTGGGAAGAAGTACTCAGATGACTTGAAGATGCAATTGTTTTGACCACTACACTTTTTTAATTAACCAGGTTCCTCTGTACTCATAGGTGAAAGAGGTCCCTTATCCATCAGGGATTTATGAAAACAAATTTCTGAACCTCAAATTTCAGTATCACTTCACCACCTGATGTTGACTTAGTCAGATATAACTATACACATTTCATCAAAATATTTATTACAGCCAAAATATATTTTTAATTCTTGTTACTGCTTTTTAGTGGTCCAAGTGATCAATGTGATAGGTGAGAAGTGGTGTTTTTTTTTCACTAAGGAGGTTTAGTGTTTCTTCATGCTTTCTATACTTAGGATTTACCAATATGCAGGTCACAACAGTTAGCTGTACTGTACAATCAACTTTTTACTTCATCATTGGAATATAAAAGTTGCTATTGAGGATTTATAAAGTTTGCTTACTACTATAATGCCCCTTTTCATGAGTTTTCTGAATAGTTTCTCTTTGCATTTCTCTGGGATGAAAAGAAGATTGATCACATCCTTAAACTTTTATACAATATCACCTTGAAAACAGTCATCATAGGCTTAATTTTGCAAGATCTTCCTAATTTTCGTATTTCATCATCTTGATGCTGTGCATTTGTACTCAGAATATTGTCTTGAATGATAACTATTATAGATCAATGGCTCAATATGACATTTTTGTATCTGAATGATGTTTGATATCAAAATCTTGGAGAAAGAGTACTCATTTTGCTATTCTTGTACAGTACAAATATGTTTATTCATCACCATCTTGTAGGCATTAGTCTGTCAATCTTGAAATGCATCACTAGAATATATGTTTGGAATTTATTTAAAGCTGCAACAACAGCTGGTACCTTGTATTATAAAGTTTTCTAAAACTCCATTTATGTATTGCTGAAGCACTGAAGGAGACTTAGACAATCTGAAAGGGCACTTAAAGCAGTTGATGTGTGATGATTGAAGTGTAATGTTTGTTTTCCTTTTAAACACTTAAATAAGAGAAATTATTTCTCAGATCAGTAGTGCTAAATATGAGAGCACTCTAGAGTCTATTCAAGATATCTTTGATCAGAAGGAGAGGATATTGGTTGTTTTGTTTCTGTATTCTAAACACACTTTTGGGCTATCATTTTTTTTTTTTTGATAACTATCACCACCTGACTCAAATACTTTGAAAAGCATGGCTTGATGATTCTCTCAGCCATTCCTTGATCTATTTTTTTCCACGGTATTCTATTCTGTAAATGGCAGACATCAGGGTCCAAATTTGCTTGTGTGGCTATTTAGTCCTGTTAAAAATTATATGGATAACAATTCATTCTATTTTCTGGTATTAATCTAATTATAGTTTTGATTTCTTGTAGAATTTTCTCGGATGGCAATTTTATGAAAATTAATTTGAAGACAGTCTGTCCAAAACTGGGAACCACTATTTATTTACTTCTAGTGTTCCAGAATACAAACAATTGATGACCTGACCTTCCTTTTTAGGCTGATTGGTCGTCAAATTTAAAAAAACAGAAAAATATCCAATTAAAATTACAAATTTTAAATTGGAACTGGCAGATCTCTTCCAGACATCTTCATTTTCTTTTCCATTTTTACCACTCGGGGATAATTGAGCTTTATATCTACTGAAGAAAATGCACTGGTAAAGGAAGTCTGTGTTTTTTAAAGGATGTTTTAAATTTGACTGCCAAGCAGCTTAAAAAGGAAGGTCAGGTCATCAAATGTTTGTATTCTGGAATGCTAGAAGTAAATAAATGGTGGTTCCCAGTTTTGGACAGACTGTGTCTTCAAATTAAGTTTTGATTTCTGTTAAAATTAAAGCTGGTGCATACGAATAAAATTTTTTTTTCATACATTTAACCTGTTCTGGAATGTTAAAATGTAACTGTTAAAATTTATTATTATAGGAGCTCTTCCTTAGAAACCAAGAAAAAACAACATATCTGCCATATGCCTGGCTGTAATAAGGTTTATGGTAAAACTTCTCATTTGCGGGCCCACTTAAGATGGCACACTGGAGAACGTCCTTTTGTATGCAATTGGCTTTTCTGTGGAAAACGCTTCACTCGGTCAGATGAGTTGCAAAGACACAGAAGAACTCATACGGGTAAGATGACATTACAAATAAAAACATAAGATTTAGAATAACGGAACGGTGTAATTATTATTATTTTTGATTTAATGGAAAATTAGGTGTTAACATACTAATTGCTTTAGATGTTTTTGTCTGTAGGTTATAGTTTCAAATAATTAAAAAATGTGTACTAAATTTTTAAGAATTTTGTCGTCATAATTTTCAAGCAAATGTTTTTTCAAATACAAATGATTGTTTTCAAATGGATGCCTGAACATTATTATAGTAGTTATATTAAACACAAATTTGTACACATACAGTACACATGAGTAGAACAAAATAAATAAACTAAACTCTAAAGGTTAAAATTGAGTTATTTAAATTATTTATAGAACTTTTTATCAACTTAAATTCTTGAAAATTACTACAGAATCAAATTTAATTTTGTTCAGAGAATATAAAATGCCTATTACAGGAAATCCTTGTTAATTCAAACTCAGATAGTTTGAAATCACATTAGTTCATAACTGTACTGTACTTTTGTCCTAGCAGGCAATATAGAGATTCACAATGTTAAGGAATTCAGTTAGTTTGAAATAGAGCTACTTTGAAATTCAAAGTGAAAATTCTGCCTGAACTGTGATAAGAGTATGTTAACTTGTTTATTTAGATAAAAGTGCCACCAAACTGTAAGAGAACAATAGACCAAGAACAACTCTAATCTGGTAAATATGGCTCTGCTTTTACAAGAACACATTTTTGTGTGTCACAATATATATGGATTACCCGTGTTTTCTCTTATCTAATAAAATATAGCTGGCTTTCAAGATTGCAAGATTGGGCTTCAAGTAGTAGATCAAGATATTTGTAGGCTGTAGGCCACTATTTTTGATCCACTTCAAAAATAATTTAGGCTAAATTTTAAGGAATTCTGCTTTACTTTTTATAAAACCTATCTGGCAACCTGTGAGGTTCTCACTTGACATGTGCTGTTTACCTGCAGTTTATTTATATTATTATTATTAATTAACCAAAATAGCATTCTGTATGTGTAGTCATATTTCATTTCCTTAATAAATTATATCAATTATGTGGCATTTGCATTTTGTACAGAAATAGGTAAATCTCTGATAACTCAGTCTCAATTATTTCATTCCTTAAAATTCAAATTAATGAAGATTTACAGTATGAACTTCAGATATTTTGAACTTATATACTGTTTTAATATTTATAAATTTAATTATAAAAATTTGTTGTTGCAAATAAATAAAGCAAACTATATTAAATTAAAGACTTCTGTTGTAATTAATTAATAATAGTAGTCATTTTATCATAAGAGCCATATTTACTATAAAATAGCAAAATAATTCAAACTAAATGGAAGTAATTAAAAATGCAGTATATTATCATGGAATAATTAACAAAATGAAGAATATTATTAAGTTAAATACATAACTTCTTTTTTCTGTTCTAAAATAGCTTCTTTCTGAGATGATAAAAGTTTACATGAGTTGTATAACTAGTTTCTTAAACTTAAATCTTTAAATAATATATTTTGCCCATAGTTTATCCAAATGAATAGGAAGAGCTTACTGATACAAAAGTAAATTCTGTAACTGTAAGGAAGCTGTTATTTCAATTAGGATCAGCTATTATTTCATTGTCTCAAAGAAATAATTTCAGATTAAAAAGACAACTTACACTAGCAAACATTACATCAAAGAACTTTGTTTATTGCTGTGTTAAGGCAAAATACAGTCCAATGAAATATTAATAGATTTTGACATTTATATATTACTTTTTATTGTTTAAGTGCTGTACATGTTATAAGGTTTAAATAATATGCTTCTGTAATTTCAATACTATCTTCAATTATAGTAAATATTTTTTCTATTTTATTGATGATAAACTTTTGCAAAGACTTTAGAAAGCAAACAATACACTGATTTATTAGTGTAGTCAAGAAATGCTATCTAGTATGCTATATGAAGCAAAGGCCAAGTTCTTTTATGATATTAGTTCTTTCTACTTTCTACCATTGCTATTAATCTGACAAAAGCTAATAGCATGTTCAAATGGTTATCCTTTTATACCTTTCAAAGATGCAATAACATGCAATATTGCACTGTTGATTGATCTTTGTGAATGATATTTAATGCAGTCAATACATTTTACAATGCTAACTTGAACAGTATTCAAGAATTAAGATTTTTTAAGCAAATTTCAAAATTAAGGTTTTTTTTTTTATTTCTGAGACTTAAATCAATGTGAAATTTGCAACTGCTTTTTTGAATGTCATTAAAATTATAAATAAATTTTGTGGCACCTAATATTAAAATCTACTTTAAATATTCATTGGATAATGATGTTCAATATTTTGATTTTATTTATAATTTCATTTTCAAAAAGATTTGTTTGCAAAGGTATGTAGAAGCAAAACAGAAAATACCTCTGCTCAAACTTCTTAAGACTACAAATCTACCAGAAGAGAATTTTAAAAAACTTAGCAGGCTCCTTTCAGTAAATAGGTTTTTATAAAAGTTATTTGCAATAAGGTAACTAGTTAACTTTTGAAAAGTCTATATGCTTTGAACTAGTTCAAATGTTGTTGATAAAACTNTGCCTCATTACTCATCTGTTTTTAAGAAAGATTAAAAATATATATATATAATTTTTAATTTTGTCATAATACAGTTAACAAAACTTATCAATGATAATTTTGTAGAATGCACGGAAGTTTTTGAAATTATTGATCTTCGATTCGTTTTTTGATCCATTTTAAGGTTGTGTGAAGAAGAATAATGGATTTCTATTCGACTCGAAGATCACTGAATTAATGTATTCATGCCAGTATTACATTGTTTATTTAGAAGAGAACAAAAATTTTAAACAAAATTGAATTTGCACTATGACAACATCTAAATCACTAATGTATTATGATTTTGTTATTAAATTTAAAAGAAATTTTATCGTGATTTAGTACGTCTCATTTTTTTCTTATTCATTCTTAATAAATGAATTTATCATTTAATTTATGAATTTCAAAGTTTTATTTTAGTAAGATATAGTTTATGTATAATTCAGGTAAAATGGTAAATCTTAAGTCCAAATGTTGATGCGATTTTAGAATAGAATAGAAACAAATATAAACTTGTAAAGATAATGGTGGTAGCTCCATTCTAAGATATTGTAATGAGTAAATAAAAAAATATACTGCAGGAATTAAGAGTGGTGGTCATGAAAGCTTGATAATATGATTTTGGAAGACTATTGGACAATGTAATGTGCAGTACAGTACATGCTAAATTATATCTTAAGAAAATTGATTGTATTTGATACCTATCAATCTAGTTCTTGAATTGGAGCAAATATACTAATGTTATATTTGCTTATATATATTTTACTATATAGTAAAATAACTTTTTATTAAAACTTTTTATTTGTAGTGATAGGTTCTTTGGACCTGGATGCTTATTTGCATCCGTAGATCTGATTAGGAACTGGTGATTTAGATGTAAAATGAATGTTTTTGTATACTGTTTAATTAGTTTAGAATATGCTAACTGAACTTTATTTTGCTCATGTTACTGCTTTAATTAAATCGAATTTCTCTCGAATACATTTTCAGTTCGACACGCAAATATTTTTCATTATGACTTCTCTCCTAAAACGTTACTCGAATTTACACAAGCTATTATGTAAAAATTCTTTTAATATATTTTTGAAAATAATTCTAAAGGTACTTTTATAGTTTAATAAATTATATAAACTAAATTAAACATTTTTGATGCTGATTTTATACTGTTAAGGTAAAAACCTTAATATCGAAAAACGTAGATATTTTCGAGTCCAAATTGTCTTTAAAGTTTATATAACGCAATAGAGAATATTCTAATTTATTTAAATGGGATATCTTTTGATTTAGTTTTTTCGAGAGCTTAAATATAATAATGGAATGTTTGAAAATTAGAAAACCCCAAGTTTGGATTTGCACAATTCCCCTGCTCTTCATTTACTGATGATGTTTTTCTCCGCAAAGCTCTTCCTGCGATTTCTCCGCCGTTATCTCTACTTCGCACTTCCTCTCTTGGCCATCTTACACGGACCTAACTCTTTCGGGACCTCCACCTCTTGAAAAGTAGACGCCATCAACTGATAATGCCACACTAGTCTTCTTAATATGTCATATTTATGTTCTTTTAGCCGTATCTCAAGCAGTTGAGGAGTGTTTCTAACATATTTTTTGTGTAAATGTTAAATCACTTGCCTTGAATAAGCACCTTGGCATTTCAAGGAAATATGATCTTTATTAGCCCAATGATGACTTTTTTTAATACTGTTGTTTAATTAATTTTATAGTTTGGTTACACAGTGACTCCTGACTTGTTAGTATTTGTAATATTTTTAAATATTTCAACAAGCAGTGATTATTAAGTTGATTTAAAACAAATATATTTATTTTCAGGTGAAAAAAGGTTCCAATGTGCAGAATGTTTAAAAAAGTTTATGAGGAGTGATCATCTATCAAAACATTTGAAAACTCACCAAACAAAGAAGGCAGGAAACTCTGTGGGGGGTGGAACAGAAGAATTTGCTGGTGACAGTTGTGACCTGACCATGACAGTAGATGTTGACCAAGACAACGACCTCTACATAAGTGAAGGTGCTCTGGATGGTAATCAGCAATTGAATACATGATAAATTTCAAATATGAAGATGGGAATACAGAATATATACAGGTATAGTTGTTAATGGTTAGGATTTGACAACATCAAGATCACTCTGATTGTAAAGAAATTGAATATTATCAAAGTTGTTTTCAATGACAGAGTTAATCAACTGTAAATATAATAATGGTCTCAAAGTGGTTCTTTACAGCTGGTGCTAATCTATAAGAGAAGAAAACCTTAATTCAGAGCATATTTGTGATCTATTAAAAATACATATATATTAAATCCAGCTGTATTTATATATTAATTTTTTTGTATTTTAAAACATCAAATCATTGCACTAACTTTTTAGTTGTTCAGACAACTTCACCTGTGAGAAATTTTTATACGTCTGATTTGTATTTAAGATTTTTTTTTGTCATCTTAGAATGAGACAAGAGGAGACTTAATTTTCACAAAATTGATTTTAAAAAACAAAATCAGTATATAATTGGAAAAATTAATTTAATATACAAAGTGTTTATTTTTTCAGATTTTTATGTATAAAGGTATTCAATGGAAAGATAACACTTCCCATATACATTGTAAATATTTGAACATTCTGGATATGCAGTGCCTTTGTATAAATAAGAAATTTCATTTGCTACAGTCTGATGTACAATTCCTAGAAAAATATTTGAAAAAATATCCATATACAATATATCATATATATAGTATATACACAAATATGTGTATATTTATATATATAAAATAAATTTATATATATATATGCCTATAAATAAAAAGAAAGAATACTACTTGTTTATTATATACTTTATTATGCACAAATTATCAAATGGTATTAAAACCATTTTGCCTCATTACTCATCTGTTTTTAAGAAAGATTAAAAATATATATATATAATTTTTAATTTTGTCATAATACAGTTAACAAAACTTATCAATGATAATTTTGTAGAATGCACGGAAGTTTTTGAAATTATTGATCTTCGATTCGTTTTTTGATCCATTTTAAGGTTGTGTGAAGAAGAATAATGGATTTCTATTCGACTCGAAGATCACTGAATTAATGTATTCATGCCAGTATTACATTGTTTATTTAGAAGAGAACAAAAATTTTAAACAAAATTGAATTTGCACTATGACAACATCTAAATCACTAATGTATTATGATTTTGTTATTAAATTTAAAAGAAATTTTATCGTGATTTAGTACGTCTCATTTTTTTCTTATTCATTCTTAATAAATGAATTTATCATTTAATTTATGAATTTCAAAGTTTTATTTTAGTAAGATATAGTTTATGTATAATTCAGGTAAAATGGTAAATCTTAAGTCCAAATGTTGATGCGATTTTAGAATAGAATAGAAACAAATATAAACTTGTAAAGATAATGGTGGTAGCTCCATTCTAAGATATTGTAATGAGTAAATAAAAAAATATACTGCAGGAATTAAGAGTGGTGGTCATGAAAGCTTGATAATATGATTTTGGAAGACTATTGGACAATGTAATGTGCAGTACAGTACATGCTAAATTATATCTTAAGAAAATTGATTGTATTTGATACCTATCAATCTAGTTCTTGAATTGGAGCAAATATACTAATGTTATATTTGCTTATATATATTTTACTATATAGTAAAATAACTTTTTATTAAAACTTTTTATTTGTAGTGATAGGTTCTTTGGACCTGGATGCTTATTTGCATCCGTAGATCTGATTAGGAACTGGTGATTTAGATGTAAAATGAATGTTTTTGTATACTGTTTAATTAGTTTAGAATATGCTAACTGAACTTTATTTTGCTCATGTTACTGCTTTAATTAAATCGAATTTCTCTCGAATACATTTTCAGTTCGACACGCAAATATTTTTCATTATGACTTCTCTCCTAAAACGTTACTCGAATTTACACAAGCTATTATGTAAAAATTCTTTTAATATATTTTTGAAAATAATTCTAAAGGTACTTTTATAGTTTAATAAATTATATAAACTAAATTAAACATTTTTGATGCTGATTTTATACTGTTAAGGTAAAAACCTTAATATCGAAAAACGTAGATATTTTCGAGTCCAAATTGTCTTTAAAGTTTATATAACGCAATAGAGAATATTCTAATTTATTTAAATGGGATATCTTTTGATTTAGTTTTTTCGAGAGCTTAAATATAATAATGGAATGTTTGAAAATTAGAAAACCCCAAGTTTGGATTTGCACAATTCCCCTGCTCTTCATTTACTGATGATGTTTTTCTCCGCAAAGCTCTTCCTGCGATTTCTCCGCCGTTATCTCTACTTCGCACTTCCTCTCTTGGCCATCTTACACGGACCTAACTCTTTCGGGACCTCCACCTCTTGAAAAGTAGACTCCATCAACTGGATCAAGAGAGTATGCTTTTAACTACATTTATTTACATCAAATATTTACAGGAAACTATTTATTATGCATCACACTACACGGCTAATCACTCTGGAGGGTTCTTTTAAATGTGGTCCTGTCGGGTTTTTTTTAACGATTCTTTAAGATAGATGTCTCGACCAAATTAAAAGGTCAAGTCCCATCACGTGACGAGCATACGCCAAAGACTAAGGTCGACGGACACCTTTCACTTTTACATGTAAATAGTTCAGTGGCGTGCCGTCATTGGAAGCGGTGGATGCGCCGCTTCCCTTGTATTTTCTGAAAAATAAATACATATTAATTTTAATTATATGAAAATAATCGCACAATATTTTATTATAACCGCATTATGTATCTTATTACAAATTTTTATACTACACGTGAAAAAAAGATATAAGATTGCTATTGTATATTCGAATATTAGTGGCGGAGTGGAAGCGCTGTATCGTCAGCATCCAAAAAGCCAGATTCGCGCACGCGCTTTACAGAGCACCAACCTCATCCGGTTTAGCCGGTGGAAGCCTAGGATCTCAGGTGGATGCTACGCGTATACCGCATCCAATTCTATCCAGGACCGGTTCTGGGCTGTTAGCGCCTGCCCGCTAGATATTTGGCCGCCCTCGCCCGATTACGATTGCGAGTAGATTTATAACTTAACCCAACCGATAAGAATTTACCTGTATATTTTTATGATAGTTCTATATAGTTGACAGGAGTTTTAAAAAATCCATTAAAATATTTGATATTTTTATTCCGTTCTCCCATTTTATATTACTCACGGATTTCAATGTTAAACCAGTGATATTACGATTTCCTATATCCCATCTCTAAGGGGATGTAGAAAAAAGTGTGTACAATTCTTGTATAATGTTAAAAAATTAACCGTTACTTAGCGTCATTTACAATTAAATTTAATGGATGACAGAGATGCACGAGGTACAGAAAAAGCTCTAGAATTTATTTTCCTTACATTTACTATTTATGTATCGTTTTCATAAAAATTTGTCTTTCCACTTTTTTTCCGAGACTACAAATATTCGAGTACAAAGTAACTGGTTTCGACTTATTTCTACTTAAGAAGTAGTTAAATAATTAAGCGATTAGGAAATTGGGGAAACAATAAACAAACATAAACAAAACTCTGATGAAAGAGCCGAAATTTTACTTAAACAAAAGCTTAACCGAACCATCTCTAGCCGAGTACAGTGGAGACTGATTTCTTAATATTATTAATGTAATAAAGACAAATTTTTCCAGTTCAACGAGAGTGACCGAAAAGTTGTAAATTTTGGAAATTTCTGAGGACATTTGGTCCTAAAACAAATTAGTTAGAAAACAAATGACTGTTAAGATTAACATATTTAGATTTTTACAGCTATGGTGAGAAACGTTTAAAATCTACAACAGCCCTGTCGCGTCCTTTGAGATATACTAGTGATGCGACAAAAGAGGTATTTGACATTGACCGGTATCGGCACCCTGGGGATTTGGCAATCCGCGTGTATGCACGTTCTGCAACCGTCTTTGATTCCATCCATTAGCCACTCGTAGAAAGCTATTTGACTAAGTGCATTGTTTTAAGATTTAAAAAGTAAAGAACATTTTATGTTATTTTTATGTACTGTACGTTATGTTCTTTACAAAGCTATATTTAATTATAATTTTCTTTAAAAATATATTCGTACAATTGAAGAATATTTTGTACCAGGCATGTACCGGTACATCCCCCCACATTTTATTTCACCGAATAAGTTTTTATTATTTTATTCTTAATTGTAGCTCTTATATCGTGGCTAGCGATTCGGAATGTAATTGTGATATTAAAAATGCATTTAGAGAAGTCTACGGTTTTTACTGACTTATCGAACAAACGATATGAATGGACCCTAGACCAGGGGTGTCCAACCTTTTTGTTCTTCTGGGCCACATTGGAAGAAGTCATGGAGTTTTGGGCCACAAGTATATATAATATATTTGTGACCCAATCCTTAAATATACAAGTATATTTAAGGATTAACATGTCTAGATTGTAGTAATAAGTATTAAAACTTTATCACGAACAAGGATATTTTAAAAAATTACTTCTACAGACCCTTCCAATTTTTACTTAGAAATAAATAAATTCATTTATTATAAAGGAAACAAACAAAAATTTATTTGAAAAACACAAATGTTTGTTTTATTTAGGTCTATAATTAATAAAAAATGACGAAACACCATTTTAAAGTGCATTTTTATTCGACTAATATATTTATAAATAATATGTACCCCTGAAAGTAGCCAATGCGCGAAATGATAATTTTTACGCCAAACTGAAAAAAGGGTAGCCAAATCTTTCAATGATCTTTCAATGCTGGAAAGAATACTAAATAATGCTGGAGTTGGAACTCAAAGGATTATAGACCCAAATTTGAGAAAAGGAGAGAAAGGCCAAAAGATAAAAAGTAGTGAGAAAGGTTAAATAGACCTTCTATTATGCAAATATTCACCATTAATTTTCCAACCTTCCTCACTACTTTTTATCTTTTGATCTTTCTCTCCTTTTCTCAAATTTGGGTCTATAATCCTTTGAGTCACAACTTCAGCTTTATTTAGTATTCCTTCGTCATTCACACATCTCCAAGTATTTGAAAATATTTCCTTTTCACTCAAAAATAAAATATGTATAAAAGTTTACAGCTTTGAATTTTTTTTTAGTTTATGCCGTTGAAATAAATAAATAATTAAAAAAATAAAAGAATTTGTCGGTTTTGTTTACACGTTTATTGGGCCGCATTGGAACTTGCCTTGGGCCGCATGCGGCCCGCGGGCCGCGGGTTGGACACCCCTGCCCTAGACCATCACTGACGCGCAATTGACTGATTGCCCCTGGATGTCGGCTTCTTACAGAAGCACAGCTTCCCTATCATCAAATGTCACGGCATGCCACTGAAATAGTTTGTTGTAATGTAAATGGAGTTGTTTACATTCTCTCTAACAATGAAGTCACCGCCGTTCTTTGTCTACGTTCGATCGTTTGAGACATTAGTAGTAATTAATAGCATCCGACCCCGACAATAAAAATTATAATGTTATTAAACTACAGAATCAAAGTTCGTAATATTCTATAATTAGTTTCGGAAATGAAATAAAAAATATCAATTTTATATGAAATGTATTTAAGTAATTTAAAATAAAATATTTAGTTAAACATAAAATGAAAATCAGCTTAGCTTAAAGCATTTTGTTTTTAGAAGTGTTTACGTTACTGTATTTTTTAAATTTCATACTTTCTCTCTTAGCCAATAGAATTCTGGATTCTATTATATATTTAATAGAAAAAAGTCAGTGTTAGTATACACGTGTATTTCGTTGAAATGGCTCTGCTGTCATGTGATTTGTCATCTAAACCAACGTTCTTCAACGTTTTCACATCTGCGGACCGGAAAAAGGCTAAAGATAACTTTTCTTTGACTTAAACTGCTAAGACACCGGTGACTCGCGCGACTGTCGTAACTTTATTTAAACAATTGTAACAATAAAAATAAAAAAGTGTTAAGATTTTAAACTTGTAATTAATATAATTTTGTTGTTACAAAATTTCCTGCCAGTCTAAAAAATTTTTCGTAGACCGGCACCACCGGTTGAAGAACGTGTTCGAGAAATTTTTTGCTGACCGAAGGTTGAAGAACACTGATATAAACGATTCGTATTGCATACAAAGTTTGTTATTGAATGTTCAAAGTGGCAAGGCCGTTAGGTTGCTGCTCCGGAGGATCCGAGATCGAATCGGTTTTTTAACTCTAAGAGGGTCTTACCAAAGCCATTA